CTCAGCCCACAGCCCCTCCCCCTGGGCCAAGGCCAGGGCAGCCCTTCCCTTTCTTTTTGGGGGCGGGCAAGGACACCAGGTACCTACCTCCTGGGGCAGACAGCGAGAAAGCAGGCAGGATCAGGTGTGGAAGGGAAGGCGGAGGGATGGGGTGCCCCCGAGAATTGCAGCAGCGACAGAGATAGAGGGTCAGGGAAGGGATGCACAGGCCAGAGCCACAGCAAGAGAACAGGCAGAGGGGAGGGGGAGAGAGGAAGAAAACCAGTTACATCCACATGGGGAGAATTCAAGGCATCCCCTGCCCACCATGTTCCTGACCTCCTGGCTTCAACCTTTCCCATAGGTGCTCAGCTTAGCCAGAATGGCCCTGGAAAACACATGTTCCCTGGGACCCTCTACCACAACCAAAGAGGTGGGGGTGGGTGGTCTTAGCTGTGTGATCTTAGGAAATCCCTGGCCCTCTCTGATTCCAGCCTGGAAACTGCCCTCCCTCCCCCACAGGCCCTACTGTGGCCTGTGAATGAATAGTCAAGAGTTGCGATGCTTCCATCAGCCATAATGGTCTCCTGCCCCTGCATCTCAGTTTCTTGGCTCAGAGCCCCATCTTGGGGGAAGCTGCCTTCTTGCTCTTCTCTCTAAGGCTCAGGGAGACCACTGTGGTGCTGGGGAACCTGATCTTCTGTGATTCTAACCTCAGGGTCAGGGTGCCGCCAGGTTAGGGCCTTGAACAGCTAACTACTGGGGCAGTGTACTGGCTGTGAAGATGAAATGCATCAAGTATACATTCAATGCAGGACCTCAGACTGTAGGGCTGCCAAAGCCACTGCTTACCAGAGACCAAGGAAATTGAGGCCTGATTCTAATCTGGGCCATCCCACTTTGTCTCTGAGCAGAGACTCTGCAGCCTTTACACTGTCCCTCCAGTCCAACCCCAAGAGACATCTGGGGAGCTGTAATGGTCACTAATGGCTGGCCTGTACCCAGACCTGCCTGCTTGAGTCTAGGGTCCTCAGGGTTCACACAGTGCCCACCGAGTGCTGAGAACAACTCTCCTGGTCACAACAGCCCCCTCTTTGGCCTTGGATGACGGAGCATTTGGATTAATCCACGGTGCCCCATCGCACATTTCAGTAAGGACTGCCTGCTCCCTCCCTTCTCACCTGGAAACTCTAGAGTCTTCTACATGACTACTGCTCCTGCTGTGCTGTTCTCTCCTCAGCCATGCTTGAAGCCTGAATTTATCCCTGCCTATGTTGGCTCTCCTTGGCTCAACTGACGTTCAGCTGGCTGACAATGAGGCCAAGTCTAGGGCAAACAATCTGCACATTTGACCCTGTCCTCTGTCCTGAGGGTTTTACTGAGGGAGCTAACAGCCTGGTTCATCAGGCCCTGGCACAAAAGGCTCAGGCATGAGTAGCTGGGGGCCAAGAGCACTTAATAAAGGCCCAGCAAATAAACAGTCTGCTCTTGTTTTCAGCCCTATTTTACAGGTGTGGAAACTTGAATTCTCAGAGGTGCCAAATCTGGGGGTGTGAGTCCTGACCCAGACCATTAGTGTTCCCTGCAGGGTTGGCAGCAGGCTCAAGAAGGGACGTACCCAGCTTTAGAAGCCAGCCTTCACGGTCTGGGTTGAAGAAGGTGTGGGTGAGATCATTCCCATCATCCTCAGGGATCTTGAAGGGCTCATTCCGGATGCTGTCGTAGAGGTTCTGAGGGGCCAAAACAGGTTAGAAACTCCAAGCCCTGGAGACTTCTCAAGGGATAGGGAAGTCATCAATGGGTCATTCATGGGAGAAAGGGGTCACACTGGGAGGACAGGGGTTCAGAAAACAGTAGAGATAAGAGTGAAGAAAAAAGATGAAGGGATAATGGTGAGGAACCCTGTTAAGTTCTTTGAGATGATGGAAAAAAGAGCAAGACCCACCAGAGCCTGAGAGGAGACACAGGAAAGAACCAAGGGCCAGACAGTACAACTGGGAACAGAAGAGGAGGTCATGGCTATGCCATTGTGAGCAGTTCAGGCACTGGCAGACCCTGGAGCACAATGGGTGGTGAGGCTGGAAGATGGGTGGGGTTGGGAACAGTACTGACCCTGAGCAGATCCTCAGGCAGGTCTCCGCCTTCATTGATGCCCCGGTTCATGGCCACAAAGCGCTCCAGGCCTGGCTTGTCCCTGACGTTGGGATTATGAAGGCTGGTGTTCAGCATGATCACGGCAAAGGACAACACGTAGCAGGTGTCTGTACCAGATAAAATAAGGCAGCTGGTGATGACCCAGGACCTTCCCAAACTCTTTGTCCTGTAGCCTCAAAGTCTGGGAATCCAGATCCCAGCATCTTCCCTCAAACGCAGTCCAGATTTCAGCACTTTTTCTACAGACTATAGGTCCAGGCCTTGCCCCCTGGTCCTACCTGTAGACTGGAAGACCCCAGGGTTACACAGGCAGTATCGCTGGGCAAAGTCCTCCATCATCCGGTCAATTTTCTGAGCCTCTCCAGGGAGGCGAAAGCTCCATAGGAATTGCCTGGTTAGGGGAGAAATTGGTCTGGCATAGGTTTCAGGGCTGGGAAAACACTCTACTTTCTTAAGTCTCTGTCAGAATCGGACAAATCATTATCCAAACCTTGCCCATTGTGATGCACACCTTGAATCCCAGCACCCAGGAAGGAGGGAGAGGCAGGTGGATCTCTGTGAATTCGGGTCCAGCCTGGTCTACTGAGTTCCAGGCCAATCAGGGCTACACGGTGAAATGCTGTCTGAACCCCAACCCCCCAAACAAACAGAATCAAAATCTCTTGCCCCAGCTGCTATTTCAGTAGGCATGTAATTTGATCAGACCAGTAGGTTCTGGCCATGGATTCTGGTGGATCTATAGTGGAAAAGTCTTTTTTCTACCCCGAGTTGGCTAAACTGGACTGGGGTTGCCAGGTGCTTTTTTGCTGGCATGTAGGAAGATCCACTGAATACACCAAGAGAAAGCCTGAAGGAGGCCCCATCTGAACTTGTTTATTAGAGACAGTCATTTCCTGACTGTTGCATCTCTGTTGGAATGGTATGTTCCTCACAACTGAGAAAGTCCTGGCAGGTACATTTCTGTCCCATTCTCACCGCAGGGCCTGCACCAGATTAAGGTCGGTGAACTCATGCAAATCCACAAAAGCATGGAGCACAGATAGGTTTAGCTCTTCCCTGGAGGAGGGAAGAGAGAGAGTCCCATCAGGAGGAGTGACAGGAGCCATAGCAGTATCATCTCATTTACTATGCCACCCTCCTGCAGATGAACCTTGTTCTTGTAGCTTGTCAGATCTTTGAGTACACAGACCACCTGATGTCATCTTGCAACTGCTCTCACGCTTCCCAGATGCCTTTATCTCAGAACTGACCTTTGTCTAAGAATTCATAGCTAGTTCCCAGTTGCTATGCAATCACATGTCCACAGGTCTCCAAACACTTGCAGCTCTGACCCATGATAAAAACTTCCAGACAATACTTTCCATATGCTAGCTTGTATATGCGTGGTTAAGCCAGTGACACTCAGACTTCAACAGTGTCCTTGTTTACTGGATGACTACAGGTCCATCTCCCTCTAGTTTCAAGCTCCCTCAGAGCCAGTCAGTCCACTATATCATGACCCAGGTGGAGGCCACAAACCTGCTCTACCCATGAACTCCTATTGAGGCTGGGAGTACTACTGTACAGGCTGGGCAGCTCACCTTTCCCCGAGGTAATCCCCAATGGCTGTCTTGTTCAGCCCCTCACCCTTGTACAGGAAGCGGGCAATTTCCTCAGGTGTGTTCTGCAGAAGTTCGTGTTCTACCAAGAATTGGATCCCCTGGATGGAGGATGCCAGATTTATGCCAAGGCAGAGGCTGCTGCTCCCCATCCAAGCCTCTCCACCCTAACAGAGCATGGTCATCCCTAGCCCATCCTCTCAACCTCTGCCTAACTGATTCCGGCATGTATAGCTGGAACAGGTTTGAAGAATAATTGAATACATGATACACTGTATAAAAAAAGAAGCAGATACCTACCCATCAAGCTGTAAACACAGCACCCCTCCCTTACTGCCATATCTCACCTTGAACTGTAGCACTTACACCTAGGGGGATCCCTCAGAGTAAGGCAGGGTCTTAGCATTCCCAGCATTGCCCAGCACAGGACCGGGCTCCCAGAGGCCTCAGTACATGAACATTCATGGAACAGATGGACAGGGATCAGGAGTCTTGCCTAGAGGAAACCTATTATCTTAACACTTCTAGAACCTAGGATATCAAAACCATGCCTGAATATATCTGCTCAGCTAACTAACCTTCTTGGGGTCCATGTTGAACTTCTTCCTGCCCATTGCCATCTTCCGGTTCCGCTGCAAGGTCTTACTGCAAAAGCAGGATGGGCAGCAGCCAAAGGTCAACACTTGAGCATCCAGGGCCCTGGCCAAGCCCTGTGTCCCACGAGCTCGCCACAGTCCTCACCTGCCCTCATTGGCCTCCAGACCCTCCACCTCACTCATAGCTTCACTCAGCTCCTCTCGCAGGCGCTGGATCTCCACCAGCAGCTCCTGCTTACGCCGTCGGATGTTCTCTAGCTCCATGCGCTCCTCCGGAGTCAAGTCTGGGGGCTCTAGGAGTCAGGGTCAGGAAATGAGTTCTGGGGGGGCCAAGATTAAGGCTAAGAGCCTGGATTCCTGTCCAGAAGAGAAATGGCTACTACAACTCTTAGGGAAGAGGGAGTAAGACTCTGAACCCTTAGTCTGGGGCAGAAGTGCCTGGGAATCTCATCTCTTAATAGGTCTGGGGATGAACTTCTGGGCCCATTACTTGGAAAGATGGAGCCCTGCCTTCATCATGAAAGTGTGGACCTAAATCTTGGGTGTATTACTTGGAAAGGAACCAGTCCCTGGGCTCCTGGACCCATCACCACAATGAGGAACTCTTGGGATGTTACTTTAGATGTTTTACTTGGATGCCCTGGTTCCTTGGTTCCATCACAGTAGAACGGGAGGCTTGGATATTGAAAACATTACTTGGAAGGACACAGGGCCTTGGGCTCATGGCTCCATCATCGCAAGGGATCTGGGGCCCCAGATCCTGGGTGTATTTCTTGGAAGGTAACAGGTCCCTCCATCATGGCTGATGACCTGGGATCCTGGACCTTGGGTGCATTTCTTGGAAAAACACCAATACTCTGGTTCCTGGGTCCACCACGGTGGGGACCCTGGCATGGAGCTTGGATACATTTCTTGTAAGGAGGCCTGGTCCCTGGCTCCACAATAGTGGGAGAGTT